AGGGAGAAAAGTGCAAAAATGAATGAATGGAAACCCTAAGTCTCTGTAAACTTTCATTAAAATTAATAATAAAATAATAATAAAAAAGTTTATTTGACTCAAAGTTTGAAAACCGTATTACATGTTCATTCAAAGACCTTTTTTTTAATAACACTAATTAAATTTTTTTCCCCTTGTTGTGTGCTGTCTAACTGGATCTGACCGGCACAGGAGATTGCCCCTCCTTCTCCGGCAGAGCATCTGGTGGATTCGAATCATGTGCCTTCAGGATTGCAGCGCAGCTTCTTGCCACTATGCGACCAGAGCTCCTGATTCATGAGACAATGTGGATGACCTGTGAAAGCACCATGCTAAAGGAAATCAAAGCCCAGAACAAACCAAACCAAACCAAACCAAACCAAACCGATTCTGCTCCCGTGACCACGCAGGAGAGAGCAGAGATAGGTTTCCAAGGCTGTGGATTGTAACAAAAGCAGACTCACCCATCAACAAACAAATGGACAGAGAAGCTGTGGTATATTCACACAATGGAATACTATGCAGCACTGAAAAACAAGGAACTCAAGAAATATTATACAAAATGAGTGACCCTGGAGGACATTATGCTGAGTGAACTATCTCAGTCACACAAGGACAAATATTGTACAGTGCCACTGTTGTAAAAGAGGACTGATATTAGGGTTGGGGTGAGACTGAGAAAGATGGGATAAATAAAGTATACTGCATTGAAACAGATGACGGAGAGAACTGTTAAAAAGCTATATGTGATTGGTTATTGTCGTCATGACAGGAGTCCAGAATGAAGGCTGCATAGTGGAGTGTACTGGGGGTGGGATTGTATACCAATGAAAGAATTTTTCTTTTACTTTTCCAAGAGAAGAAGGAACTGGGAGTGGTGGTGAAGGATGGACAGGGAGAAAAAGGCAACAATGATTGAACGAATGGAAATCCAAAGTCTCTGTAAACGGTGATTAAAATTAGTAATAAAAAAATTTAAAATTTAAAACAAACAAACAAAACACAAAAGCACACTCCCTAAAGGGCACCGTGTAGATTCAAACTACCAACCTTTTGGTTAGCAGCCCTTAAGGCTATTTTGCTAAATGAAAGTCCGGCCTGAAAGGCCCTATCCTAAAAAAAAAAAAAAAAAAAAAGAAAGGCCCTATCCTTCCTGGCTGTATTTATATGAAATGCCTGTAACAGGCAAATCTAGGAAGAGAGAAAGGAGATTAGAGGTTGCCAAGGGCTGCCTGTGGGGGAGGGGAGGGAGACCAGGGCAGCAAGTACTAAACAAGCACATGGCTGGTTTCCTTTTAGGGTGAAAGAATCATTTTGCAATTAGAAGTGATGGTTGCATAACACTGTGAAAGTGCCAAATGGCACCGAACTGTACGCTTGTAAATGGTTCATTTTTGGGTAGTGAAATGTTTGTGTGTGTGATCTGAACGAAAGTTGACAAAGCAATTTGGTTTTGCATTCAAACAATCACACACATTTAGTTTCATAACATTAATTACAACGTCACAAAGTGGCTGCGTCTCCCCACTCCCTCGCTGTGATTCTCACTTCCATTCATCTTATCTATCCCAGGCCTTCAGGCTTTTTTTTTAATTGTTATTATCATTTTTTGTTTTGTTTTTTCCTTGTGTACCACCAGGAAATTAAAAGACGTATTGCGATGGGAAAGTCTGCTGTTAGGGACCTCTCCAGGGTACTGAAGAGCAATGGTGTCTCTCTGGAGACTAAGGTGCACCTGATACAGGCCATGGTCTTTGCAATCACTTGGTATGCATCAGAGAGTTGAACAATGACTAGGGATGGTAGAAGGAGAATTGATGCCGTTGAGCTGTGGTGCTGGAGAAGAGTACTGAATATACCATGGACTGCTAGGAGAATGAACACATTTGTCCTAGAGAGGGTGAGACCAGGCTGCTACGTGGAGGCAAGGATTCTGAGGCTTCATCTGACATACTTTGGACATGTTGTAAGGAGGGACCAGTCCTTGGAGAGGGACATCATGCTTGGGAGGGTGGGGGGACAGCTCAGGATGGGAAGGCTCTCTATGAGGTGGATTGATTCAGTGACCAGGGTAATGGGGGTGGGTGTGTCGGAGACAGTGAGAATGGCACAGGACAGAGCAGGGTTTAGGGTTGTTGTACATAGGGTCACTATGAGTCGCAAGCAACTTGACGGCACATAACAACATCATTTTATTATTTTTTGTGTGTGTACCATCAAATCAGATCTGACTGGTACAGGAAGAGATTGCTACTCCTTCTCCAGCAGAGCATCTGGTGGATTCGAACCACAAACCTCTGTGTTTGGGCTTTTTACACAGGCAGATATTGCCCTTTTATGATTGATTATTCTAAGCGGTGAGCACCTTGCTGGTGGTTTTTGTTCACTATATGGGCCGGTTCATTATTGGCTGAAACCAGAGCCACAGGGATGAATTTTGTTCTCAGTTCAAAGGGTAACTGAGGGCCGCAGTCTTGGGATTCCCCCTGATCTGATCAG